AGGGCTGTTTCTGTGCTGTGGGCGGCACATACCAATAGCTACAAAATGTTAGCATTGCGCCCCTTATATTTTATAAATTCTTTGCTTTATTGTGTCATCTTGGCTCAATTAGTAGCACTCTCCCCTCTGAGTCAGAAGGTTGTGGGTTTAATCCACTTGTTGGGTCTTTGAACTCGACCAGTCTAGACTGACGCTCCAATGCAGTCTTCGGGATGCGCTGAAATGTTGCAAGTGCAATACTTCAGATGAGACAGTAAATCGAGTTCCTATCTGTTCAGGTGGACCACATGCCACTATTCGAAACAAGAAGGGAGTTTCTCCTGATGTCTTGACCAACAATCCCCCACATAAAATTGGTCATTCACTTCATGGCTATTTGCTGTGCCCAAATTACAGTAAAATCCTGTGTAGCACATTCAGACATCCTCCTGATGTGAAAGGTGCTATGTCAAATGGAAGGATTATTATTATTATTATTATTATATATTAAACAATTTGTTGGGGACGCTTTAGTTTGAAATTTCCCCAAACCCTCCTTTGTGTTGCCTCCTGCCATATACTGAAGATTGCACCTGTTAACCTTTCATTATGCCTTTACTATATAGTCAGCACGAGCAGCATTTGTGACATCTGTGCTAAAATAAATGCTGGAGGCTTCTTTTTAAATAAATACTTTGGAATAAGGCCTTTGCCAACATACAGAATTATAATTCAAATGTGACCATGATGATTATTTTAATTTCATTCCCAAACCAGAAGAGCACATTGATGTCTGGTTTGCCGATGCTGCGTTGAGATCCAAGTATTGTTACCGGCACTATATTTGGTGGGAGGAGGCTGGAATGTTAATAGAACATTAATTGATGATTGAGGCGAATGCCGAATAAAATCTAAAAAACATCTTTTTGTTCAACATTCATAAAGTACAAAAAAAAGTTATAAACCAGTATTTTCTTTATAATAGTCAAGACACTGGAACTTGCCACCTTATGCTTACGATTCTGATGCAATCTACTTGAGGACACTGAGCAGCTCCATTGTTTTCAGGATGACGTCTTTGTACCTTCCTGAGCCTGGGAAAGTTCAGTTCAGGAAAATGTAGCAGGTGTGGTGTGGGACAGATCACTTTCTCTCTGAGCTCTACACAACCGGGCACAGCCTTGAGGCTGATTTCTGCTGTCAGATGGTAGATAAATTGCATAAAAGAAATATAAAAGTTAAAATGAGTTAGTGGTATCCACCCACTAGTGAGCTGGGTTTGAGAGCTTAATGGTTAGCAGTAGCGATAAGGGATCGTGCAATTTTACATTTCTGACCGTGGAAGGCATAATTTCACTCTGTGGAGATATCCTGTGTTTAGGGTGCTATATAAATGCAAGGTATTGTTGTTGAACAAAGGCAGGATTATTGAATGATCTTTGGTTCCTTGTCCTTTAATCATGTTGATGATTGCAATCGGTCCTTTTTATTAAAATGTACACAATCCTGATGCATGGAAACATTGTGAACTTGGGCTCATAAACTATCCTTCTTGAGTTTTCTGCATCCAAAATGACCCTGAGCAAATACATTAATTAAATCAATTTTGTGCATTAATCCTGTTCTGCACTGTGTCCTACATTTACAAAGGAAACCTCTGCCTTCTACTGGTAGATGATTGATACTTCAATACATAGCTGAAATGCAGCACTTTCAGCCATTGGGGCAAAATGTGTACAGCGTACAATTCAATTACATTGGTTAATTCAGTTTTTACATTACCCTAGATCTTGAAATTAATTTTCCTATCAGAAAATTTTGTGTATCAACCTGAGAGGAAGCATTTGAACTCTTTCATACCAAATGAGTTGAGATATTCTATTTTTGGCTGAATGAATGTGCTGCTTTTCACAATCAGGAGCGCACATAAATCTTCAGGCCTGACTATTGTGACTATTGTAAAAAAAGATGGTTGTGTGTGGTGGGGTGGGAGTGAATTAGTGGAATTTTGGACTGTAACTTTCAATTGCTTTGGGCTAAGAAGCGCTCACCACTTTAACTAGATGTTAAATATCCTATGAAGCAATATTCAAATGCTGTCTCTGGGATTAGTAAACAATGTTTTTGACCTGGTATCATTTGGTAAATATCCAAAATAGGGTCTGAAAAGAGGCATCAGCCCAAACTATTGTATTGAAATTGGAGAGTGTTTACACCCAATACCAGTCACTAGTTATTGAAATTCCACAGTTTCATGATTGATTCAAGAATTTATTGTATCTAATAATAATGCTTACATTTGGTATAGCGCCTTTTTGTGTCTTCAAGATGTTTCAAAGCGCTTCACAGAATATACTGTAAAGTAAATTGACTGTATATTTTGTGAGTGAAACGCAGAAGCCAATTGCACACAGCAGTGTCTCACAAGCAGCCGTGGATTGAGTACCCAAATTATTTTTATTTATTTTGAAGAAATTATTACCCGCAGAAACGTGATCCACTAATCAACTTACAACCGGGTTCCTACTTACTGCTAGTTAAACAGAGGCGGGTGGAGTAAGGAAACTTGCCCAACATTTCGCTCTGCTGGGAATCAAACCCAGGTCGCTCGCTTGCGAGGCGAGTGCTCTAACCACTAAGCTACAGGACTCTGATGAAACATTACACTTTCACCCCTTTTGGGGGTCAGTAGGAAGAGCTGGTAATTTTTGCATAGCTTTTCAATTTTGTTGAAATCTGAAAATTATTGTAACTCAAAAAAATTCTTCTTTTGTTAAGTGTAGCAGCAATGCTGAGCAACACTGTCATCAGTCATTCCTCCCCTGTTTGAGCATGTAGGGCAGTGGTATCAAGATTTGCAAATGGATTTGATGTGGTGAATCCTGCAGATAGTGAGATGTGTCTCAGGCTGACCCTACAGAACTTCACTCGGACTCTCATTGAAGCCAGGTGCTAGTGGTCTCACTAAGCTACAAACTGGCTTTGGGAGGTCAAAGCTGAGGTCAATTACTGGCAGAATTCCAGAGGGTCATCCTGCAACACATTAGAATACTTGTAGAATTTACTAACTTCAAATACCTTTGAAACCTCTCAAGGTAGATCATTTTTTATGTTTTTTGCACTTACTCAGCTGTGGAGAGTTTTGCTGTCCACTTCCAGCATGATGTTTGTTGGCGTGTTGTTTTCCATCAATAACTGAAGGGATTACCTGAGATAACATACTTAATGGCATTCCTTTGCATAACAATTTTTAGATATGACTTAGCACAACAGTGTGCTCATGCGAAGTGATGCATAAGATAATGAAGATTCGAGTTGCAATACCTGTTTGGTTTGAGCTGATGTGAATTGTAATCAGGGTCAGAACTTGCCAACAATGGGAAGAGAATAGTTTTATGATTGACTCGTGACTGCATTAAAAGATTTTTGCTTCATCACTGAACAGTGAATGTGTGGATCAGACTCCTGTTAAAGCAGTTAAAGCAACATTGATTAACCATCAAAACAAACTGCTTGGGAACAATACTGGAAGCACTGGAAATAGACTTTAATTTCCTAAACCAGTTGCATGGAATTTGGTGTCTCTTTTTGTAGTACATTTCCTCCCTTACACCCTCCTCCCCCCACACCCCCAACTCCCCCTGCTCCAGACAGACTATTTTGCCCAGATATTAATGTATGTTCTGTTACATGACAATTACATGTCACTGCATTTGAGTTCCTTATACCTGCTGTTCGAGTGCTTGCACATAGTGAGGGCTCAAACCTGTGCTTTTCAGAGTCTAATGACAAGCTAGTGACTATCCTCCTGGGGGAGATTATTCTGGTCTCCTTGGGACTGAGCTGGCTCCAAGGTGTCATGCATGGAAATGGAAAATTTTAATTGAGTTTTGCCTCTTTGGTGGTATCAGTTGTCTGGTTCCTAAGCCATGCAGGCACATGGCACTCTAGGATACTATTGATGGAGTCCTGTAGCTCAGTGGTTAGAGCATTCGCTTTGCAAGCGAGAGACCTGAGTTCAATTCCAGGCAGGGCGAACCTTGGGCAAGTTTCCTTACTCCACACATCTAATAATAATCCCTCCAAAACAAAACAATAATAAATTGGTCACTTTCAATCTACGACTGTTTGTGGGACATTGCTGTGCGCAATTGGCTGCTGCGTTCGCCCACAAATATACAGTCAATTCACTTTACAGTATGTTCTGTGAAGCGCTTTGGATGTCCTCCCGACGTGAAAAGCGCTAAATCAAATGCAAGGATTATTATTATGATTGATCAGCCAGCCAGGCGCATCAACAGGACTTGAATGGGGCAGCAATTTGTCCACTTACCAAAAGGAAGCACACATTCTCCCCAAGCCTTGGTTCACACCAACCTGCACCTAATACTTTTTGAACTAGTTAAGCAGGTTGTGTCCCTCCAGATAGATAGCGTGCATTCTATTTCAGGCACAGGGACATTTTTATGGCATGTATATCTGGCATCTGATTTTGATGCTCTTTTGCACGATGGTGGATTGCCATGTGTGCTAGCCAAAAATGTAATTTGTTGCCATTCATTGTGTGAAGTATTCTGTGACATTTTGATCTGATTCAAGCAAAGTTAAAATTAAATGTTATATATTGGTATGATTAAGCTCAGCTGAACTTATTTAGCAAGTTATATCAGATGAGTGAGATAGGGTTAGTACAGCGACATAGAGCAGCAACAACTAATTTAACATTTGTGTACTTGTTTAAATAGTTCCTGTTGGTTGAAGTGTATGGATTTAGATGTGTTTGAATGTTAAGCTTGTCAGTGTATTGTGATGAGGTTTCTGTTCAGTTGCTTGGGGAAAGGGAGATTTGCAGACCAAGGAATGAAGGAAGCAGAATAGGACAAAGGCAGAAAGAGTGAGAGTGAGAGAATTGAGAGAAAGTGACATTGGAAGAAGGAAGAAGGCCAAATATTTCATTTTATTACTTCAATAATGTATTAAACCTTCTATTTTATCTAAATAATTTTACTCTTGTGTTTCAGGCTTTGGCTGAGCAGGTGTGTGAGGAACATTTAGCTGAAGGTCGCTTATACCCACCACTCAATACTATTCGGGACGTTTCTCTAAAACTGGCCGTGCAGGTAATAAAATCATTAACAATGGATTTTTTTTTAACCAGCAAATACAAACACTATACTTTGGAGAAATATTGTGAAACACTTCCGTATCAAATGCAAGCTTTATTAGTAGTATTTATTCCATAATACAGATTCTCATTCTTTCCTTATCGGATATCCACTTGCCAGAATGAGTCACCGGATAGTGATACAGAGTGGAATCCTAGCTGATTCTTCCAGTCTATAGCAAGGCGATACTCATTAGCTTCTCATATCTCATATTTCAAAAGTCTTAACTACTTTCACATCTAATCAGTAAAGGAGATTTCATATAAAACTATAAATTTAAAGGGTGGAAGATTAAATGGCAGCGAGCAGGAAGGTTAACAGCAAAGGCTTTTAAAAGCACATAAAAGTAAGAGGATAGTCAAAGAAATGATGGAACCACTTAGAGTCAAACAGGGCAATCTTGTAGTTAAGAATGAGGCAACGGCAGCGATGGTTAGTATCTTCTTTGTGTTTTTTTACAGAGGAAGTGAAAGTAGGATTGTAGAAGTATCAAAGAGGGATTAGAAAGAGAATTAATATTAAAAGCAAAATGTATTTAAAAAAATAATGGGTTTTAAAATAGAAATGGCATCAAACCTGTAATCACAGAATAATGAAGGTCAGAGAAGACAGAAACAATTGGTAGACTTGCAGTCTCAAAAGATTTTTTAGAGTTTGTGGATGGTGCATCAAAGGACTGGAGAGTGGCAAATGTTAAACCTCTGTTCAAATAAAGGGGAAAGGGATAAGTCAGGGAATTCTTCATCAATTAGATTCACCTCAATTGGTGTAAACTTTCAGAGATGGTTACACAAGATGGAACTTTTGATCATGTGAAAAGCCAGGGATTATTTGAGCTACGGATTTTTGAAGGATAGGTCATGCTTGCTAAATTTTAAGTGATATTCAAAAAATGTACAGATATATGGCATGAGGTTATGTATGTGCAGCTTTTCAGCAGACCTTTAATGAGGTGCCAGGAGTCCCGTAGCTCAGTTGTTAGTGTGCTCGCCTCGCAAGCGAGAAGACCCAGGTTCGATTCCCGGAAGTGGCGAAACCTTAGGCAAGTTTCCTTACTTGATTCTGTTTACCTACTAATAAGAAGGAATCCATTCATTAATTAATTGACGATTTCCGGGAGTAATGGTGTCTGCCAGTGCTGTTAGCAAATAGTCTGGTCTTCCTCATTCAGCATCTTTCACACATTCTTGGATTTTATTCTTCTGATAGACCAGAAGCATGAAAACCATTGAAAGTGGCTTTCGATTGTTTTTGACTTTAACACAACAAATATAGCAAAATAAACAAGTGGATATTTAGACGTATTAAAAAGTATCATGACTCTAGACTTAAGGTCTGAGGGGATGGTAGAATGAAGTATGTGAGGCTGTGCCCAAATTTAATGAAAGAGGAATAAGAAAGACTTTACAAAAGTAATGTCAAGAATGAGGGGGAAGTCCCGTTGAGGGGTTAAAGATAGAACCCTCTTTCCTTGAAATTGAAAGTCCTGCCATAGTGAGTTTGCTGGCTCCCTTATTGATCCTACCCAATTAATGATTAATTAGTCAATGATTAAGTATTGGATTATTTTATCTGATTGTCTTGCATGCATCTGCCAGAGGAATCCAATGTAAAGTAATTGAGATTGATTGACTTAGTGGAGTGATGCCTGGGAGTGGGGAGAGAGACTGACACCTTGGTCACAGTAAAGAAATATAACATTTTGTTACATTTTGCTGAACAAATACTCTTAATTTGTTCTCCATAGACGACGAGGAGCAGATAGTTGTCAGAAATGTTGGGATCTGTCTGCACAGATCCTCATCCTCACCTACAAGGCCATTCATGGCCTTGCTCCCTCCTATCTCTCCGACCTACTATCCCCCTACCTACCTGCCCGTACCCTCCGTTCTTCTGGCTCCAGTCTGCTCCACATCCCTCGCCCAACCGCCCTACCATCGGTGGCCGGGCCTTCAGCCTCTCAGCCCCTAGTCTCTGGAACTCTATCCCCCAGTGCCTTCGCCTTGCTTCCTCCCTTTCCTCCTTCAAGGCCGGTCTCAAGACCTTTCTCTTTGACCGTGCCTTCAACTCCCCTCTCGACTCTCTACCCCCTCCTCGCTCCCTCCCTTCCCTCCCCTCACCCTGACCATTTCCCCACTGCTCGGGTCCTGACCCAACTGTACAGCGCCTTGGGACGTCCTCCCGACGTGAAAGGCGCTCTATAAATGGAATCTTGTTGTTATTGTTGTTGATGAGCCCCTCCAAACATAAGTATTGCGAGATCGAAGATGATGATAAATGTTGAACTCTACTGTTTCTGACTTGGATCCATTTCCTCAATAATTACTGATCTGGATTGGAATTGCTTGTGAAGCGTATCGAGACGTCTTCATGATCGAAAGCTATAAATATAGAAATTCTTTATTTCCAGGTCCAGATCGAAAACCTGCTTTTGTTTCTCTTTCAGACTGTGGAATACGCATACAAAAATGGAATGACGTCAGTGTACCCAGAGCCTGAAGATAAAGAAACTTTTGTCCGCTCCATGATGTACAGCACAGATTATGATGACTTTGTAACCGATTCTTACACTTGGCCAGAAAATGCTTCAATGATTCAAACGGTTGAAAAATAAGTGCAGCTTCCCTGGAGCTTAAGCATTGAAACCAGCAGCAATTACATGTGTGATATCAATCAGTTTATTACTTTCAACTTTATGCATGTTAAATCGTTTAATCTAGCTTTCTTGTACTGTGCTGCTTTTAGTCTCTGGCATTGGTGCTGTAGGTTAAACAATATTTTTTTGGTACGAAAACATTTGTAATCCCCATTTTCTTCCCATATATTTTCCTGAGTTCCAGGTACCAAATCCTGACAAAGAGCACAAATTAGCACCTGTGAGCGCCTCTGCGGCCTTTGTCAGTGCTTCCCTGTGACTACCAGTGGTGGGTACTTAGAATTATCTCATGGTGAATCAATCAATGATTTTTTTCCTTTTCCTCAGTCAATATTGAATTGAACTTTTAGCAGTCTAGAGGGAAACTCCCAGGTGTTTACGTCAATTATGTCAAACTCTGGCCTCCCTCGTATGCATGCCATCAGTCCAACAGAATTTCAGTTATTCTCTGACCATTGGTCTGTGGCCATTTCTAAACTGGTTTTAGATGATCTATACATTAAGAGGATTTTTTTAGGGGGTTGGGGGTTTTGAACAATATGTTCAACAAGGTAAGTAAGCGCATTTAGAAAAACTCTCAAGTTGACTGACTATTAATTTACTTCATCAGGTACATTATGAACACAGTGTGGGTTTATTAGAAAACAACTAGAATTTAAACAGATGACATGGGATCTTTGAGTCTGATATTGCAACAAAAGATGTAGAAAATTATTTGTGCTGACAAAACAGTAGGAGTTTATGCTGGTGGTTCTGGGGCATTATTTTCATCCGTAGTTTGGACCATACCAATCTCGCTCTTTGCCCCCCACCACCAATATGCACCCCACCACCAAAAAAAAANTTATTAAAATGCCAGAAGCCTTTTGAAAATACTATGATAAAAGAAAACCTATGATTGGAAAATGCTTGTAGATCTAGAATGATGGAAGAATAAAATGATTAAAATGATTGAGATTGAGTCTGTGCATTGTATTCTTTTAACTTATTATGTCCTTCCAGTTCTGATTCGTTCGCCCACAAATATACAGTCAATTCACTTTACAGTGTGTTCTGTGAAGCGCTTTGGGACATCCTCCCGACGTGAAAAGTGCTATATCAAATGCAAGGTTTATTATTATTATTATTTGTGACAAATGTAAATTCTAACTATAAAGATTATTAAAAACATAAGAGGGTGATGGAAAAAGGGTGCTTAGTTGCAGGAAACAAAATGAAATTCTAAAAAATCTTTCTTGGAAAATTTTGTGTTATGAACAATTTCCTTTAAAGAAAAGAAAATATCCAAACATACCAAATCCTCATCACAATTTTTTTGTTGCTATTATGGGATGCAATCAATATCCATCTAAAGGTCTCGATTGGAAGCCACTCTTTTAGAAGCAGAACAAACCTTGGGCTAGTTTCCTTACTCTACATGCCTAATAATAATCATTCAAGAAAAAAAAATAATAAATTGGTCACTTCAATCCACAACTGTTTGTGGGACACTGCTGTGCGCAATTGGCTGCTGCATCTTGCCCACAACTATGCAGTCAATTCACTTTACAATATATTCTGTGAAGCGCTTTGAGACGTCTAGAAGATGTGAATGTAGGATAACATTTTGCAGCGATAAACAGTGATGGAGTTCCCATGGACGATGCATAGCATGAAGGAGAAGAGGGAGGTGACCATAGGTGTGGTTTAAGAGATGGATTTTAAAAATAGATAGTGGAGGCAAGGCCGAGGGATAGAGGCAGGGAGTTCCAGTGATTAAGCGCATTGTGACTGAAATAACGGCCACCAATGGTGATTCAGAGATGTCGAGGTGGATGCGCAGCAGACCTGTGTTAGCTGAGCGAAGCGGGCAGGCAGAAGTGTGGGGTACGAGTAGGTCAGAGAGATAGAGAGGTGCGAGGGTGTGAAGCATTTTGTACGTGAGTGTGAGGATCTTGAAGTGGAAGACTTTACTTGAAGCAATAGTTAAATGGGACAATATGATCTAAAAGCAAATCGGGCTAACACTGGAAGCATTCCAAAGGGCATACATACAGCCACTGCAGATATGTTTGGTAACTTACATATTATAGTACCATTCAGGTGAACAATATCTCAAAGCGCTTGACAATCAGAGTGGTGGGTACTGAGGGAGAAGTGGGAACTTTATGACATATGTAAGAGCAAATCATATTAAATACCTCCAGCACTGCACAAATAAAGAAATAAATTTCCATTGCAGTATATCTTGTATGTGCCATTATTCATTTATAGCTAAAATAAATGGTACATAACAAAGACAAATCAAATAAAGCAGCAAAAACTAAACCAAAGTATTAAACAGTATTTTTGTCACTAACTTTGTCCATTTGAAAGTAAAAGTGTCAAATTGCATGGATCGTTAAATAGAGCAGGACAGTGGGATCATACACTGACATTGATTTGGATAAAGAAGGCCCTGCTTGTCGGCTTCCCCAACTCCTCCCTCCATAGGCTGCAGATCATCCAGAACTCCACAGGCTGTGTCCTCTCCCGCACCAGCCTCCGTGACCCTATCACTCCCATTCTTGCCCGACACCAAGTGGCGTCCCATCACACAGAGGATAGAATTCAAGATTCTGCTCCTCACCTTCAAAGCCCTCCATGGCCTTCCTCACCCCAATCTCTGTGATCTCCTAACCCCTTACCAACCAGCCTGCTCCCTCCGCTCAGCAGGCTCAGGCCTGCTTCACATCCCCCACCTCGCCCTCCCCACCTTTGGCGATCGAGCCTTCAACCACTCTGCCCCCCATCGTATGTAACTCCATCCCTCAGTCACTCCGACTTGCCCCCTCCCTTGCCTCCTTCAAGACCCATCTCAAGAACCTCCTCTTCTACTGTGCCTTCGATCACCCTACTTCCCCCCCCCATTGCCCTCAACCCTCCCCGATCCTGGCCCCCAGCTCAGGTCTGAACCACTGACTGTCCAGCGCCTTGGGACGTCCTCCTGACATGAAAGGCGCTATACAAATGTAACTTTGTCGTTGTTGTTTGTTACAAGTCCCTTCCAGGGTGCAACCCTGCTGCCTGCTCAAAACCTATTTTTTTTATCCCCTTGTGAGTGCACTCGCACAGTCACAATACACATTCATGCAAACGATAAGTTTCCATGTAAATCAGGTCTCTTTCAGACATAGTTTCCTTTAACAGTTCCTGCTACCTGCGGGGTGCAAATGACCGAAACATTACCATGCAAACAACAAAGGCAACATTCCAGCAGACATCGGTCTCCATTCATACAAGTTTGCAGGTCCCCTAGTCATGAGACCAGCACTGCCACACTGCTCTGGTCCCTTGAACTAACTTACTTCATTTATTCCATTTACCTTAGGTTAATTTCATAGCAACAACTTAAAAGAATATATAAATTCTGTACAAATGTTCTTGGAAACAAAAAACCTCGAACATGTCACCATTGAGTCAGAAGGTTGCAGGTTCAAGCCTGATGTTGGGACTTTGAACTCACACAATCCAGGCTGATGTTCCAAAATAGTACTGCGGTGTTGCTGCATCGATGGAGGTGCTGTCCTTTGGATAAGACATTAAACCAAATTCCCGTTTGCCTGTTCACACGGACATTAAAAATGCTATGGCACTGCTCATAAAGACAAGTGACATTCTCTTGGAGTCCTGGACAATGTGACATTGCTGCATACAAATTGGTTTAAGCATTTGCCTATGAAATACAAACACAGCACTTTCCAGTATATCTTATATATATCAGTATATCTGTATATCTTGTGATCTCCTGGCCCTCTGCCACATTTTCACATGCCCAACATTACTATTGAAATGAATAGCCACAGAATTGATAGACTTACTGGTTTAGCAGAGGCATCTCGTGACGTAGTGAAACGTAATCGTGTTCTGCTCGATTGGAATAAATGCAACTCCTTTCAGTCTAACAATCATTAACCAATGAGGCAGGGTGTGGCTTGTATTTTCGATGTACAAGAAGCAGCTAATTTAATGAAATTGTTCTGAAACCAGTAGTACATATTTGTGAGGAGATTGCAGGGTATTTGAAACCGCCATCGCTCTCTCCGTGGTATACATTGTGTTCCTTCTAAATTCTTTGATTGTAATAGAGCACTGCAGAACTCCAGCAATACTGAAGAATCATGCTGAGTGTGAATGTTGCGTGCTTTTTTTTGTACTGTATTTTCCATCTCTCACTTGGAAATCCTTGTGTTGTACCAAATGATGTTGTGGGAGCCAAAGATCCAGGCGATATAATCCTTGGTGGAGTCTTTGCAGTTCATCAGCAAGTGAAGGGATTGTCGAACCGCTCCAGACCAGAGCCATTACCATGCACAGGGTAAGTCTTTCGTTGTTGGGATTATAATTTGTGTAATAATAATCATATAGCCACTTATAAAGGATGCTTCAGAGGCAAATTGTTGCCAAATGTATTGACTGTGTACTTGTAAATTTGTAGGATGACAAAAAAAAATGTTTGCACTCGGTTTTTTGATTAGGAGTGATACATTACTAGGCTGAAAATAAAATCTATATGAACAAACTGTATTTAATCTTAAATTGATTGGGTTTGGCTTCAAAAAGGACTCAACATTATTAGGCACCTGCAGACATAGAAATCCCATACTCGATTGAAATAATGGAAGTTGCTTTAAAAGAGTCAACAAGCTTGACAGCATAAATCATACCTTCATTGCAAGGAAAAAAGCACATTGTAAGGTGAGCCTCCTCCAGAGACATGATTTACTTTTTTGTGACTGTCACTCAATAATGCTCCTGGTATGTCTCTCACTGAGGATACATCACAAGATCACAAGAGAGGTTCAGGTGAAGCAGAGCCTCAAGCATGGTCTTGAGAAAAAGAGTGGAAGGACAATATGTTACTGGAGATTATATGATTCTAGTTGATGCCAAAGCAATATAAAAGCTGGAGAAAGAAGAAAGGAACTGAATAAACAACCATTCTTATTGGTAACACCCCTGTTGTTCTTTTCAAAAAAAATCAAATTCCAATAAGAATAAAGGCAAATAGAGAAGGCGGGAATTAAAGGTGAAGGAAATTAAAAACATGAAATAGGTGAGAGGGAAAATACTAATCTTGTTGCATTTTCTCTAACAAGTTATTTTCTGGAGTTAAAACATTGTTACTGTAGATCTGTATCAGTATATGAATTGAAACACCTGATACCAATGCAATAAGAGACAATGACATCTGTTACATGCATGTGTTATCTATGAGCAGTCCAAGCTGCCACTCAAATACAGTGCAGGAGGAGTATCACATTGACAGAAATGATATCCTTTAGATGAGAAATTAAACTGAGAACTCATCTGCCTGCTCAGATGGATGTTAAAGACTTATTATTTGAAAGCACGCTGTAAAGCACTGTTCGAAAAGAGAATGGAGTTTCTCCTTGTATACTGGGCAACAATCCCCCAACTAAAAAATAAACCCATTCACCTCATGGCTGTTTGTGTGCATGTTGACTGAAATATTCACCCACAAATACACAGTCACTTCATTTTACAAATGAAGCACTTTAACATAGGCGATGGTGCATAAACTGTCGGTGCCGCGTTCGCCCACAAACATACAGTCATTTCACTCTACAGTATATTCTGTGAAGCGCTTTGGGACGTCTAGAAGATGTGAAAAGCGCTCTATCAAATGCAAGGATTATTATTATAAACACAGATTTAGGGTGTGCCATGTGTTAACATTGGTAAAATATGGAATGTCCTGGATTAAAATATCCAATGGAAATAGTTTATTAATTATATAATTAGCAACCAATCTTTTTCATTTGTTGTTAACTACTTAATTAAAGATGCGTTTAATTACATCTATGCATCTGGTGCAAAATACAGCTGTTTTTATGTGTGATTCAAATACATAATGTATTATAAACTTCAATGATGTGAATTGTCAATTCCCCCAGTTAAAAAATGAGCCCTAACATCAGGTTAAATGAGTTCTGTTCTTCATGAAATGCATAGCAATAAGGGTTTAGTGTTAGAAAATGCTTTAATTTGTATTATCAATAGGAATCAATTCCAGTGGTTTGGAGCTGAAGACATATTTAATAGGGAAACTCCAGGGAAGTGTGATACTGCCTTAACCTTAATACTGATGCAGATGTTTTTGCTGTTATTTTATTTTTACCTTACCTTGAAGTTTATCCCTGACTGGTAGAAAACTATCACTACTATTTTTACTTTTATGATTGATACCTTCAGGACTTGAATAAAAAGTAGTGTGAGCCAAGCACCACTTATTGCAGTGAGTCTGTTTTGTTTACATACAATGTACAGCATGGAAGCAGGCATACATAAGAAATAGGAGCAGGAGTAGGCCATTCGGCTCCTCGAGCCTGCCCTGCCATTCGATAAGATCATGGCTGATCTATTCTAACTCCACCTACCCGCCTTATCCCCATATCCCTTAATCCCTTTATCCACAAGAAATCTATCAATCTCAGTCTTGATTGAGGCCACTCAATCCAAACAGTCTATGCCACTGTTTATACTCCACACGAGTCTTCACCCATCTGTTACCTAAACCCTTCTATTCCCCTCTCCTTCGTGGGAATGTCTACCTTCTTCTTGAATACATCTATACTATCTGATTCAACTAAACTTCAACTTCAGGCAGCGAATTCCACAATCTCACTACCTTGGTGAGTCCTGGAGCTCAGTGGTTAGAGAGCACTATATTCTGTATTTGCATGTTCTCACCTAACCGACAGAAGTGTGGGTCAACTAAAATGATGCATATTGCCTGAAGCATTCTGGCCTAAATATGATGAGCTTGTTTGGAAAATGCTAGCATAAATAGTGCCTTAATGCTGAGAAAAAACACATCGGGATCCAAGGTACATCCCGCCACACAATGCATTTTCCTTTAGGCAATAGAGGCAACTCACTGAGCAGCAAGTGGCAGATCAACAACAACAAGATTGCATTTATAGAGCGCCTTTCACGTCGGGAGGACGTCCCAAGGCGCTGGACAGTTGGGTCAGGACCCGAGCAGGGGGACAAAACGCAAAATACTGCAGATGTTGGAATCTGAAACAAAAACAGAGAGAGCTGGGAAAACTCAGCAGGTCAGGCAGCATCTGTGGAGAAAGGAAAGTGAGTCAACATTTCGGGTCCATGACCCTTCATCAGAACTGAGGTACGTTGGGAGGGAAAGGTTTTTAAGGACAAGTTGAGAGGGGGAGGCAGAACAAGGACAACAAAGAAGACAAAAAGATGGAGAGAAGACAAAGGAAAGAATGTATTAGTTTATGGGTTAAAGAAGTGATAGTGGCGTAAAACAAAAGGGTATTTTTTTTAACAAAAGGGGGGGGTGTTGAAACAAAACTGGAGGAGAAGAGGTGTTAATGGTGCAGAACAGGCAACACACCAGAGTGTCTGGGGTAATGATTGTAGTGATAACAGAAGATAGCTCTTCTGGTAACAGAAGGGGGGGAGAGAAAGGTGAGCTGTTACAGTTTAAAGTGGCTGAAATCGCTATTGAGGCCAGAGGTCTGTAGGGTCCCTAGCAGATAGATAAGATGTTGTTCCTCAAGCTTTCTCTGTGGATCACTGGAACAGCATAGGAGACCATGGATGGAGAGGTCAGACTCTGAATGGGAGTGTGAGTTGAAATGGCAAGAGATCGGAAGATCAGGGTTGACCTTGCGTACCGAATGGAGGTGTTCTGCAAATCGGTCACCCAACCTGCGCTTAGTCTCCCCAATATAGAGGAGACCGCACCGTGAGCAGCGGATTCGGTAGACTACATTGGTGTTAGTACATGTAAACCCTTGTCTTACGTGGAACCTGTGTTTGGGGCCTTGGATAGTGGTCTGGGAGGAGATGAAAGGGCAGGTATTACATCTCCTGCACTGGCATGGGAAGGTGCCAGGGGAAGGAGAGCAGCTGGTCGTGCTGACAGCTGAATTAACTAAGGAATCCCGGAGGGAGCGATCCCTTCGGAATGCAGAGAGGGGAGTGGAGGGAAATATGTGTTTGTTAGATGAGTCACGCTGGAGGTGCCGTAACTTTCAGAGGATGATGTGTTGAATATTGAGGCTAGTGGGGTGGTAGATGAGGACTAAGGGAACCTATCCTGGTTCCAAGATTGTGGGGGGAAGGGGTGAGGGCAGAGGTGAGGGAAGTAGGGAGCAAACGGTCAAGGGCCTTGGCTGTTACTGTTGATGGGAATCCTCGGTCGAGGAAAAATGAGGACACCTCGGTTGCTCTGGCATGGAAGGTTGCATTGTCGGAGCAGATGTGGCGGAGGCAAAGGAACTGGGAAAATAGAATGGCATCCTTGCAGGAGGCTGGGTAGGATGAGGTGTAATCAAGGGAGCTGTGGGAGTTGGTGGGCTTGGAGAAAATGTCTGTGGATAGTCTGTTACTTGACATGGAGATAGTGAAGTCGAGGAAGGGAAGAGTCAGAGATGGTCCATGTGAATTTTGTGGAGGGGTGGAAGGTGGAAGCAAAATTTATAAATGCTTCTAACTCACTGCGAGAGCAGGAAGCAGCCCCGACACAGTCATCGATGTACCTGAGGAACAGGTCAGGGAGTGGACCTGAGTAGGAGTGTTCTAGCTAGCCAACAAACAGGCAGGCGTCGCTGGGACTCATGCAGGTTCCCATAGCGACATCTTTTATTTGAAGGCAGATCTGAGTCTTGAGGGAAGGATAAAGAAAATTCCAGTAATTAACATAGTTAGTGGTTTCAATGTAACTTGTGTGCTTTACCAAAACACTATCAGGATGTCATTTGCTGGCGCGAGCCAATCAGGAGGGCCTCAGTCTTGTTCACATTCAACTATAGAAAGTTTGCCCTCATCCAGGACTTGATGTCTGACAGGCAGTCTGTCAGGACAGCAGTAGTCCTGGAGTTGAGGATGGAGGCAGAAAGATAGAGTTGGGTGTCATCCGCATATATATGGAAGTTGACCCCATGTTTGCGGATGACGTCACCAAGGGGGAGCATGTAGATATTAAAGAGGAGCGGGCCAAGGACAGAGCCCTGGGGGACGCCAGACGTGACAGTGTGGATAAGGAAGAGAAGAGTAATAAGGATAAAAGAAGAGTGATAAGGATGATTCTAGGATGTAGGGCCTTCAGTTAACTAATAAGAAGTTTACAGGGTTGAACTAGTTTACAATGGAGAAAATAAAATGTGTTGATGGAAGAGGAGGAACAATAACAACAACAAATTGTATTTATATAGCACATTGTACATTGGGAGGATGTCCCTACATGCCCCCCCCCACCCTCCCACCCACCTCCCCCTGAGCTGGATACATGGATTTGGGAGAGGTGGGGGTCAAACGGGTGGGAGCAGGCGATAGATGACCGAAGGTGTGTTCAAAGAGGAAGTTCTTCAGATGGACCTTGGATGAAGTGAGGGAAGGGACGAGACAAATAGACTCTGGGATGGAGTTCCAGAAAGTGGGGACAGGTCAGGGACTGCTAATGTTAGGGTGAGCAGGGCAGGGGTTATAAACCAGGCCAGTACTGGGTGAGTGGAGGGAGTGGACAGGTTGGTAGGGTTTTAGAGGTTGCAAAGGTAGAATGGTGCAAGACCATGATTGAGGTCTTTAAAATATTGATGGATGTGGACATACATAAACTTGCATAGCATGTGAGTAAAGAGCTACTTGACAGATTTAACGTTTACTAGCCCAATGGAAAGCAGGAGAATAAGATGACTGTTTTTAACCCAAGGGATGTGGTATGTGTGGAACAGACTATCAACTAACTAGTGCAGTTGATTCTGCATCAGTTAACTTCTTCAAAACAGCTCTGCATCTGTAGCTCTCATCAGGTCTCTCGCTTGCAAAGTACTATACTTCTGGCCTTGAAGGGGGAAAGGGAGGAGGCAAGGCGAAGGCACTGGGGAATAGAGTTCCAGAGCCAATGATCTACACAGTAGCAACATGAACTTGATGGACAGTAGGACCTTTTGGCATTCTATGCTTCCTTATTTTCTTAATTTTCCAGTGAACAATTATCATAGTATTTGCACAAAATTGTGATATCAGCGATTCCAGGCATCAGATTCACACTGTTGCTCGCTTTTTAAAACAAAATTTGAGCAAGGATCATGAATGTCTTGAATTCAACTCCTAGAAGACTTGATTTTGTGATTCTTTGCTGCATACCATCTGAAAGGCGCTATACAAATGTAATCTTGTTGTTGTTGTTGTTGTTTTTGTTAATAATAGCAATAGTTAAAGTTAAAAGGTTGTTCCATTTGTTGAGAATGAAATTGTTGTTGGTCACTAAGTAAAGTAATACATGGTCGCTATTTGAAAAGTGAAAATTCTGTGGGAGAAATCAATCTCCGGAAGTGAGGGTTTATTCAATCTGAAACCTGAAGACAAGGACATGTTTTAAAGACTTGATTTAACCACAATGACTTTACTGTTCTTTAATTATTTCTGATAACAATTGAAGAACTGAATCCACTTCGGAATAATGCAATATGCTCCGGAATGTTTATTTGTTTAATATGAGCATTGCAGGACATTTAAAGACAAAGAAAATGTTAAATAATATAACGTTGATTTGTTCTCTTTTAAAATAGATTTGACATTGAAGGGTTTCTCCGAGCAGAGGCCATGATGTACACCATTCAGTTGATAAACAATTCTACTCTATTGCCTGGTATCAAGCTTGGATATGAAATATATGACACCTGCGCAGATACCTCCAGGGCTCTAACAGCGTCAATGAGATTTCTTTCTACTGCAAATTCATCAGGGACCTGCCTTGACGTTCAATGCAATTATACAAATTACCAACCCATTGTAAAAGCTGTTGTTGGTGAAGGCTACTCTGAACTTTCAATTTCAATTGCCAGGATATTCAACTTATTCCTCATGCCTCAAGTAAGTGAACTATTTTCAGTGCTGAATACATTAAGTGTTACCTTCACTAGGTTCAGCTATAATAATAATAATAATCCTTGCATTTGATATAGCGCTTTTCACGTCGGGAGGACGTCCCAAAGCGCTTCACAGAACACACTGTAAAGTGAATTGACTGTATATTTGTGGGCGAACGCGACAGCCAATTGCGCAAAGCAATGTCCCACAAACAGTCATAGATTGAAAATGACCAATTTATTATTGTGTTTTGTTTTGGAGGGATTATTATTAGGCGTGTGGAGTAAGGAAACTTGCCCAAGGTTTCGCCCTGCCTGGAATTGAACTCAGGTCTCTCGCTTGCAAAGTACTATACTTCCATTTTGTACATTATATGGCCCTAGAAACAGCCATAAGATGAGAAATCAATTGATCTGGGGGATTGTTGTCTAGGACACTTTTATGTCCACCTTTATAGACAGATGGATTTTGTTTTTAAGTCTCATCAAAAGTGAACACCTCTTTCACTGCATTTGGAGCAAAGTTTCAGCCAAAGCTATAATGTGCTGTTCAACCAGTCCTGCCTTCACCCCACATCTACAAGTGCCATATCGCAGATAAGGGAATTATTTACTTATTTACTTATTTTATGACTCTAACTGATTCGCTAGCTGAGATCAGCAAAGTTAGCAGAGGCTGGGGTTAGAGCCTGGGACTGCTCAGATTTGTTGCATGGTTTAGTTTCACCTGAGGCAGAGGCTTTATCAGTCAAGCTATTGGGAACCCTAACTTTTAAGCAGAACAGTGCAGTAGTAAAAAGAAAACTTTGCTTTGTATCAGATCCAATTGTATCTAAACTAGCACTGCTCAATGTGGTCAATGGTGTTAATAGTGGATAAATGATGAATGTCTTTGTTGAATGTAACATTCACAAACATTCTTGACCAAATAAATTAGCTTTTATTCTGAATGTTTTGGCAGGTTAGTTATGCATCATCTGCTGAAATCCTCAGCGACAAAGTGAGATTTCCTTCATTCTGTCGGACAGTTCCAAGTGACATCCACCAAACGGAAGCCTTGGCACGTCTCGTCAGCAACTTTCACTGGAACTGGATTGGCATCATCGCGACAGATGATGACTATGGCCAGTCTGCAATGGCCAGCTTTGTCGAGAAAGCACAAAAACTTAACATATGCTTCGGTCTGAAAGAACTGATTCCAACTTACATAGGTGACAAAACAACTGACGACAAAATACAAGCAGTAGTTTCCAAAATTAAAAATACTCCAAATGCAAATGTCATTGTTATATTTGCTAAAATACCACTTATCATTAAATTGTTCACTCAAGTAATGGAACACAATGTTACCAGAACATGGATTGCCACTGATGTCTGGTCAACTTCAAGAGAAGTCTCCAGCATGATGAATATTCAAAAGATTGGAAAGGTATTTGGTACTTCCTTCAAAAATGGAAACATTCCAGGTTTTCTGGAGCATTTAAAGAAGTTAAGGGCTGCTCCAGGAACCATGAACAGGTTTCTTGAAGAATACAGGCAACTGCGTTTCAATTGTTCAGATGAATATTTCAGATACAATGAGACCTGCAATTCAAACTCACACCAATGCACGCTGCCCAACTCCCTGAAGTTATTGTCACCTCTTGCTTGCACCAAAAGAAATGAATCGTTCACAGAGATTGATGATGATTTTTTAGTTAGAAATGCTGAGATGAGTGGCACTTACGCAACATACTTGGCAGTCAGAACAATAGCTTACGCTATAAAGAAGGTCCTAAAATGTCAAGAAGGAACATGTCAAAGAACATTCAGTTTTGCGCCATGGCAGGTAATTAGTCATGTTTTTTTTAAGATTAAAGAAAACAATTATTTATTTAAATATAAATTAATTCTCAAATCCCCTTGGAATTCCAAAGCATTTGCACACAGATGCATGTTCTGGTACGTATTCCCTGTTGTAGTCATCATAGAAATCAATCTCCCTCATGTCACACTAATTGTTGTAACTGCAGTACTAGACTGCCAGGGTTTGTCCTCCCTCACCACAGGCTCAGCCCTGGCAGTTCAGAGACTTCAGAGACGTTGGTCTGATTTAGGCCATTGATTCATTACACAGTTCAAGTAATAAGAAAGCACCACTACTGCTTCTTTTGTTCCAAATCTCAACAAAATACTTTGAACTGCTTTAATGTGCTTTCAGATCAGATGGTAGGTTGCTTAAAGGAGCTGCTTAGCAGAGAAAGGGAAAGTGATCAATTTACATAGGTTTGCTTAAGTTACATTATCTGTGATGGAGCAATCTATGACTCAAAGTTAGCAATTATTGTAGTCATTTTATTATGAATGTTTTTGGTCAGAATTCTCTAAAACTCTTTTTAATTTTGTTAATTTAACACTTATCATTTGGTGAGCTCGTAGAAGTAACACTTTATTTTAGCTATGAGAAATAAAGATTTGCATAGGGAACAATTTAAATAAATAATGTCGCTGCAGACTTGGGCACTCTAAAATAATATTAAAAATAATATTAAATCTTTCACTCCAGGCTTTTATTTTAGGGTCAAAATTGTGGTACCCTTGGTTGTAATTATATCCCGTCAATAAAGCATGCTTGAAATAAGAGGAATATTCACTTAATAATAATAATAATAATCCTCGCATTTCATATAGAGCTTTTCACATCTTCTCGACATCTCAAAGAGCTTTACAGAATAGACTGTAAAGTGAATTGACTGTATATTTGTGGCTGAAAAGCAGCAGCCAATTGCGCACAGCAGTGTTCCCACAAACAGTCGTGGATTGAAATAACCAATTTATTATTGTTTTTTTCTTGAGGGATTAATATCAGGAGTGTGGAGTAAGGAAACTTGCCCAAGGTTTCACCCTGTCTTTACAGGTGTTATGAGGAGTGAAACACCTGTAAAGTATATGACCAATTTTATCTCAAAGAAATACACTGGAAGAAAGTCCCTCCTCTATTCAAATAGTGCCAGGGATATTTAATGTCTACCTGGTCAGACAGATGGGACTTTGGTTTAACATCTCATTGAAAGGATGGGCACCTTCACCAATGCAATTCAACCCCAGCACTTTTAGCCTACTTGATTATCTGATGAACCCACAATCTTCTGACTCAGAGGCAAGAATATCACTGACTGAACCAAGCTATTTTCTTTACTCACTGGAATGATATCGTGGGAGGATCATTGCCCGAGTTCAGCAGCAGCTTAAACAATAGACCCACCATCACCTGTTCAGGACAATTAGAGATGGGCAATAATGCTGGCAAAAGAGTCAATGTTGTTTACATTCCCAAGAGAGAGTAAAATATAAATGGCAAAGAAGGCAAATTGGCCCAGTTGAGAGAATCAGAAAATTAATAATTATGTTAATAATTAATAAAGAATTGGCTGAAATTCTCATTTAATAATTCTGCTTCTTCAAGAGCCTAAGGAAAGTGGCTTGATAAGCTGATGTGCTTTTTGATATTTCAATGTTATATTTAGATGTATGATTGTTCAATTTGTAATCAATATTTTTGGTTGCAGCTACTTGAAGAACTGCGAAAGGTTAAATTCCCTGAAATGGGGAAAGACTTTTATTTTAACAGATTTGGAGATTCAATGAATGGATATGATTTAATAAACTGGGAGGTGGCCAATGGCACCACAAAGTTCACAATCATAGGAAATTACGACATTATGGATAAGAAGATATATATTTATAACCCAGATTTCAGCAGAATTCTGAAGGTGATTATTTATTCTCTGTTATACTAACTCACACGGTTCATTTATAATTACAAGACAATACTGTGAGACAACTGCTTTCCATCACAAGATCACAAGAGACTTTCAATTGAAGAAGGTCCTTTGGCTCATTTCAGCTCATCCTTACTGAATACCAATCTTCCAAATTTCCCATTAGAGTAGGACATGTTTCTTACATAGGCCCACCATTCTGGGTTTTACAACCCTCTCTACTTACCCAGATAGCTGTTGTAAAGATATCTCAAAGAAATACTGTCTTAATATTGTCTTTCATAACTTTAACCTGTGACCTTTTATTCTGCTACCACAGTATATTTAAACTATTGTTTTATTTTATCACATTTCATCATCTTATATACAACAACTTGCATTTATATAGTGACCTTCACATGGGGTAGCATCATGGGGTGCTTATACCTCTATAAAATCTCCTTTGAGATAACTCTTTTTGAACTATAGTTTAGGGGGGAGGGGAGATCACGAATGGACCATTTAATGCATTAATTATTGATTGATCACATTTTTCAACGATATATTAATTAGCAGCACTATTGTTAATTAATATAACAAAATTTTCTTCCCCAACGTATGTACAACAAGAACAACAACAAGATTACATTTGTACAGTGCCTTTCATGTTGGGAGGACATCTCAAGGCGCTGGACAGAGTACAGCATTTCAGACCCGAGCTGGGGTGGGGGGAAAGGGAGGCGAGGGGAAGGGGGCTGGTTGATGGCATGGTCGAAGAGGAGGGTCTTGAGGTGGGACTTGAAGGAGGATAAAGAGGGGGCAAGGTGGAGTGACTGACGGATGGAATTCCAGAGGTTGGGGACAGAGTGGCTGAAGGCTTTCCCGCCAATGGTGGGGTGGGTGGGTCAGTGGACGTGAAGCAGGCCAGAGCCAGCTAAGTAGAGGGAACAGGTTGGTTGGAAGGGTTAGGAGGTCGCAGACTCCTGGAGGGCTTTGTATATGAGGACCAGGATCTTGAACTGGATCCTCTGAAGGATAGGGAGCCAATGGAGTCGGGCGAGAGTGGGGGAGATGGGGTCTCGGAGTTTAGTGCGGGAGAGGACATGGGCTGCAGAGTTCTAGATTATCTGCAGCCTGTGGAGGGAGGAGTTGGGAAGGCCGACAAGCAGAGTGTTTGCATAGTCGAAACTGGAGGTCATGAAGGCATGAACAAGAGTTTCAGCGGCCTGAGGGGTGAGTTAGTGGCAGAGTCGGGTGATGTTACGGAAGTGAGGGAAGGCAGAGCGGGTCATGGCTTGAATGTGGGGGAGAGAAAACAGTTGTGGGTCGAATAAGACACCCAGGTTCCAGACTGGCTTGGTGAGTTGTAGTGAGCAACCATGGAGGTTGATGCTGCCAGAGCCTGAGGTGCTGAGGCGCTGGCGCGAGCCAATCAGGAGGGCCTCAGTCGTGTTCACATTCAACTGTAGGAAATTTGCCCTCATCCAGGACTTGATGTCCGACAGGCAGTCTGTCAGGACAGCATTGGTCCTGGAGTTGAAGATGGAAGCAGAAAGATAGAGTTGGGTGTCATTCACATACATGTAGAAGTTGACCCCATGTCTGCGGATGATGTCACCAAGAGGGAGCATGGAGATATTAAAGAGGAAAGGGCCAAGGACAGAGCCCTGGGGGACACCAGGCGTGACAGTGCGGGGGCTGGAGGAGAAACCATTAGAGGCGACAAAAGGGAGACGGTGAGAGACATAGGAATCAAACCAGGCAAGGGCAGGTCCGCGAAGATTGAGTAAAGCGGAGAGGCAGTGTATGAAGATGGAATGGTTGACAGTGTCGAAGGCGGCAGAGAGGTCGAGGAGGACAAGGAGGCAGAGGGAGCCCTGATCACAGATGTTCAGAATGTCATCAGTGACTTTGACCAGGGCTGTTTCCGTGCTGTGGGCAGCGTGGAAGCCGGATTGCAGGGGTTCAAAGGGGGAATGGCGAGAAAGAAAGGAGCAGAGCTGGGACACGACGACTCATTCCAGGACCTTGGAGAGGAATGGGAAATTAGAGATGGGGCGGTAGCTGGAGAGAAGGGTTGGATCCAGAGAAGGTTTTTTTATGATGATGGCTGTTTTCAGGAGGGTGAGAACTGAACCGGTGGACAAGGAGAGATTGATGACATCGGACAGGAGAGGGGCCAGAAGGTGGAGCTGGGAGACAAGGAGAGAGGCGGGGGATGGGATCGAGGGAGCAGGTGGTGGGTTTGAGTTTGCAGACAATCGTGGTGAGGGAGGAGGGAGTGATAGGGTCGAAGGAGTATAGGCGGGGATGGGTGGGGGATGGGTCAAGGGGGAGAGGTGATGTGGGGATGGCTGTGGATGGGCCTGAAGTGGCAGAATGTACCCCTCGATTTTAGATTCGAGGATGTCCAGCATCTCCTCACAGTTGGAGTTTGAGGAGAGGATAGGCGAGGTATGGGAAGGTGGACGGAGGAGATGGTTAGTGGTGGAAAAGAGAAGCCTGGGGTTGTCCTTTGCCTCCAAGTTAACCTTGGAGTAGAAGGAGGATTTGGCAGAGGCAAGAGAGCAGTGGTAGGTCTTGGTGTGGTGAAGCCAAATCTGCCGATGTACCGTTAGTTTGGATTTGGTCCAGGCCGTTTGGCATTTCGCACCTGTGCCTTGAGGGAACAGAGATGGTTGGTGTACCAGGGGGATTTACGGGAGTATGAGGCAGTTCGGGAGGTGAGGGGGGCAAGGGAGTCCAGAATGGAGGAGAATATACAGCTCTGACAAAGGCTATAGCCATATCTTATGAAAATTTGATATTTGTATCAGAGAAGTAATCATGCTTTAATTATAAGAACATAAGAACATAAGAAATGCTAGACAAAAAAGACTAAGGTCCATCTAGTTCGCCTTCCACCTTCCTGGTGGATGCATGCACTTATGTCCCAAGCTACCTATGTGCTATATCCGATAATGTTATTTCCTAATTACCTTCCTCCTAGAAAATATTTTCCAAATGTTCCCAATCCTGCAAACCCGGACAATGGAAGATTCAAAATAATACCTTACCCTCCTGTTGCTATGAATGTGCAAATTGTTCAGAGGGGTTCTACTCAAAACATTGGGGTAAGTATCAATGAGTAATAATGTGATATGAAAAGGTGATAAGACATGCCATCAGTAAATAATAATACAATAATGATAATCCATGCATTTTTATATAGTTTGATAACTTTATCATGTTGGTCAAGACGTCTTAAAGGGCTTCAAAGGATTTTACTGTAAAGTATAGTGACTGTGTATTTTGTAGGTGGATGTGGCAGCCAGTTTTCACACAGCAATATCACACAAACAGCCATGAAGTGAATCACCCTTTTTTGTCTGGGGGATAGTGAGCCAGGAAACCAGAAGATACTTTCTTCTCTTTTCAAATTGTGCCATGGGTTCGTTAACATCAACCTGAACAGGCAGATGGAACCTAAACAATATGTTTTATCAGACTGTGGCTGCATTACGAAAATAGTACGAATTTGACACTTGCTTTTCAGATCAGTTTAAAATAATGAAGAGAATTGACAGATAGATAGTGGACAACTTTTACCTCAAAATGAAGGGATATAATGTTAAAATTACATCTAAAAAGTTAGATCACGTGGAGTCTTGTAGCATAGTGGTTAGAGCATTTGCCTCGCAAGCGAGAAGACCCATGTCCGATTCCTGGGCAGGGCGAAATCTTAGACAAGGATCCTCACTCACCCCATGCCTCTGTTTACCCAGTAGTAATTCGGTACCCGGTTGTTAGTCGATTAACGGATCATTTTTCAAGGGTAATAATCCCTTCAAAAATAAATGAATGAAAAATAAAAATTTGGTCACTTAATCCACGACTGTTTGTGAGACACTGCTGTGTGCCATTGGCTACTGTGTTTTGGCCACAAAACATAATCAATACACTTTACAATGAAGCTCTTTGAGACATTTCAATGGCGTGATAAGGTGCTATATCAAATGCAAGGATTATTATTATTATCAGAAAAAATAGAAAGCACTTCTTCAAACTGAGAGTTGTGGTTGTATAAACATGAAATGTTCTGCTCAGACAATTAGAGAAACAAATTTAATTGGGATGTTTAAAAGGGAGATAGATACTTGAGAAGGAAAGTTTTTAACAGGTATGAAAAAAAGACAGGGAAGTGGGACTTAAAAATTATGGTACGATTTAATAAACTGGCAGAACCAACTTGATGAGCTAAATATTTGTATGTTGTTCCTACGTTCTTATTTATCAAATGATGAATTCATTTTTTCTCCCGATTACAGATACAAATACTTGTTTCAAATGCTTAGATAACCAGTGGTCTCCGCATGGAAGCTCAAAATGCTTTGACAGAAAGACGGAATTCTTTAGATGGAGCAATGGGTTTGCGATTGTACTGTTAGTTTTTGCCTTTTTGGGAATCCTTTTGATAATTGTAACCATAATCATTTTCATCCTGAATCGGAGTACACCAGTGGTAAAGGCTGCTGGAGGTTCGCTCTGTTATTTAATTCTAGTCTCCCTCATCCTCAGCTTCGCTAGTACTGGATTTTTTATTGGTCTGCCAGAAAAGTTCACCTGTATTATTAGGCAGCCTCTTTTCGGCATAAGCTTCACTGTTTGCGTTTCGTGGATCTTGATCAAATCTTTTAGGATCAATCTGGCATTTAAATTTGACCCCGTTGTCCATAAACAAATGAAAAAATTATATAAGCCCACATTAATTCTGATAATCTGCACTGGAATTCAAGTGATTATTTGCTCAATTTGGTTAGGAATTAAACCTCCACGTTTATCGGAAAGCTACGACAAATCAAGAATCATTTTGCTACAGTGTGATGAAGGCTCTAATGTTGCCTTTGGTGTGATGCTGGGATATATTGCTGTACTTGCCACTTTTTGCTTTTTGCTTGCATTCAGGGGGAGAAAGCTGCCTGGCGCATATAATGAGGCCAGGTTTATCACATTCAGCATGCTTATCTACCTCATTGTATGGGTGTCTTTTGTCCCTGTGTACCTTAACACCCAAGGCCAATATCTCCCAGCAGTTGAAATGGTTGCCATTTTAGCATCAAACTACGGCATTTTGTGTTGCCATTTCTTTCCAAAATGCTACATCATTTGCTTCAAGAAAGAAAGCAACACTGCTGAGGAGTATATGAAAAATGTACGTGATCATTACCTTCCTCAGAAATCGCTTCCTCCTCCTGACAATCTGTCCATCTGGTCTATACCAGTAGCTTAAGCTCCTTGGACCATAACCTCAGATTGCAATACAGTAAGTTAAATGGTACCACTCTGCTGGGCCTTGTAGTGGGAATAACATATATGGTAGTAAATACAGTAAATTCTTGATAACTCTACCCTAGCTTAAGTTGTCACTAATATTTAAGTGACCATGCTGTCAGTATCCTGGCCGTTCACTCCCCCTTACCTCTGCAATTTCCTAACCCCCTACCATCCTGCTCGCTCCGTCCGCTCAGCGGGCTCCGGCCTGCTTCATATCCCCTGCCTCGCTTACCCCACTATTGGTGGGCATGTCTTCTGCCACTCCGCATTCCCTTGCCTCCTTCGAGGGAATCTGCTCAGCTGCCACTGCCCTCCCAACTTCCACCCCCTCCCTACTCAGCCCTCCCACACTTCGACCACTGCACATCCCTCCTTTCACATCTTTGAACCTGTCACCCCCTCCTCTATCATCACCACCATATCCTCCATGAAGTCCACCACCTGCTCCCTGGACCCTATCCCCACCCCTCTCCTTAAATCCCAGCTCCACCTCCTTGCCCCACTATTCACCGACATCATCAATCTCTCATCTTCTTACCCCCTCAAAGGAGTCACTATCACTCCTACCTTGAAGAAATCTTCCCTTGACCCAACACAGCTAACCAGCTACTGGCCCATCTCCAACCTCCCTTTTCTGTCCAAGGTCCTTAAGAGAGCCGTTGTCTCCCAGCTTTGCTCTTTTCTCTCGTCCCACTCCCTCCATGAGCCCCTCCAATCGGGTTTCCGTGCTGCCCACAGCGCTTCTCGGCTTCTCCTCCAGCCCCCGCACCGTCTCATGTAGTGTTCCTCGGGGCTCTGCCCTCGGTCCCCTCCTGTTCATCCTCTACATGCTCCCCCTAGGTGACATCATCCGCAGACATGGGCTAAATTTCTGCATGTATGCGGATGACACCCAACTCTATCTCTCTGCCTCCACCCTCAACTCCAGGACTACTGGCGTCCTGACCGACTGCCTGACCGACATCAAGTCCTGGATGAGGGACAACTTTCTCCAGCTGAACGTCAGGAAGACTGAGGCCCTCCTGATTGGCCAGTGCCTCCGCACCTCAGGCACTGGCAGCATCAGTGTCCACGGCACCACGGCTTCCTCACTAAGCCAGTCAGGAACTTGGGTGTCTTGTTTGACCCCGAACTGTCCTTTCTCCCCCACATCTGTGCCATGACCGGCACTGCCTACTGTTAGAAAATAAAATCAGCCATAATCCGTTTGCAACCAGATATCTGACTGTTTTATTATTAGTCGTTCGTTATTCCCCAATATCCCGATGGGTCAGACCAAAGGCCGGTACAATCAACAGATCTTATAACAGAACAATACCACCGTAGATATCTCGAGTTCAACACTGTGCCTTTACAGCACACAAGCTTGATTCTTCATGCTTTCAGTCTTCTTGCTTACAGCTTTCAATCTTCCATCTGATATCCTCAGTCTTAGTGTTTCTAGCTCTCAGTCTTCCATCTCCCGTACCCTTGACTCCGCAGCCTGGGATGGCCCCATCTACCGTATCCTTGTGTCCGCGACCCGGGATGGCCCCATCTACCGTATCCTTGTGTCCACGACCCGGGATGGCCCCATCTACCGTATCCTTGTGTCCGCGACCCGGGATGGCCCCATCTACCGTATCCTTGTGTCCGCGACCCGGGACGGCCCCGTACACAAAGTTAACGGAACTCTTACACCGATGTTCATCCAATCATGGTGCGGACATTAGATCACCTGGTTGAAATCATGCCGGGTGTACGTTCCTCAGCCCACATACACATTGTCCTTAAGACCCCTGTTATCTGGTGCTTGTTATTTTGTAAGGTGGGATCATTAGTACATTCCTTTTAAGTGACTGGTTATTTCTTATCAGTATCCCGGGATGGTACTAAGGCCCTCTAGTTTAAGCAACTTGCTCGTTAGCTGCTATTCTTGAGGGTTGCCTTTTGTTACTCTTGAGTGTTAATCATGAGTGTCAGTCCAGTTGCCCCCCACACTTAACTTAAAAGTTAACCTGTTTGCAACATCTATTATGATTCTAACATTATACAAAAAGTGTATATTCTAACACTACCACCACCTCCGCAACATTGCCAGACTCCGCCACTGCCACACCCGTCAGGCTGCCGAAACCCTCACCCACGCATTCGTCACATCAAGGCTCGATTATGGTAATTCCCTCCTCATCGGTCTTCCCAACTCTTCCCTTCGCAAGCTGCAGATCATCCAAAATTCTGCAGCTTGTGTACTCTCGCGCACCAGGCTCCGTGACCCAATCGCTCCCACCCTCACCCGACTCCACTGGCTCCCCATCCCCCAGAGGATCGAATTCAAGATCCTCGTCCTCACTTTCAAAGCCATCCATGGCCTTGCTCCCTCCTACTTCTCTGACCTGCTGACTCCCTACCAACCTGCCCGCTCCCTCCGTTCAGCAGGCTGCATGCAGCCTGTTCCATGTCTCCAGCCTGACCATCGGTGGCCGGGCTTTCAGCCTCTCTGCCCCCAAACTCTGTAACTCCATCCCACAGTCCCTTCGCCTCGCTTCCTCCCTTGACTCCTTCAGGCCGGTCTCAAGACCCTCCTCTTCGATCGTGCCTTCAGTCTCACTCCCACCTCTCTGCCTTCCCTCACCCCTACCCCACCCCTCCCCAATGCTTGGGTCCTGATCCCTGACTGTCCAGTGTCTTGGGACATCCTCCTGTCCTCAAAACCCATCTTAATAGTTGTTGTTCAAGACCCATCTTTTCAAGACCCTCGTCTTCGATTGTGCTTTCAATCACCCTCCTTCCCCCCTCTGCTCTCCACCCTTCCCAACCCCGACCGCCAGCTCAGGTCTGAAAAACTGACTGTCCAGCGCCTTGGGACGTCCTCCCGACATGAAAGGCGTTATACAAATGTAATTTTGTTGTTGTTGTTGTTTCCCATGCAAAATGTTAATAAGGAATTCTGCTTTACTTGTCACTCCGCTTAACACATAACCAGAAGCATTCTAGAAATTCTTGTAAGTACTTACAAGATAGAGCAGGAGTTCATACAGAGCCTGCCAATAAACAGAGGCCTCTGTGATGCATCTGACCATGCGCACCCAATCTCTGCCAAGCGCCCACACCGATCACAGAGACCTCTCATGGATCGGGAGCACCTATGCCTAACTCGCCACTCTGGAAAACTGATTCCTGAGCTTTTTTCCTTTAGATTGATGAGTTATTAGGAGTCTACTGTGGTACAAATTACTGAGGATCTAAATGACACTCTAAGATGAGATAGTCAATGTATGTATCAGTGATACATTTTTTGTAATTTTGATAACAATTTGACTGGTTGAGTATCCGGGACTCAAACTGAAATTGTCTTGAATATCTCGTTGTTTGATACTAAGTCATTGCTTTATCCTTTTTGGTTTATAAATGAACTCCTATTAATCCTATTAATCAAGTAGGAATTGCATGAAGGAAGATTTTATATATGTAAGTTATTTGGTTAATTAGAATATGTTTACATTGTTTAATTGTAACACATCTGCAGCAAGTTCCTCTGAGCCCAAGATGATGGGTGGCCCAAGTTTCAGTCAAGGCAGATAATCATTGCCATTCAGAGATGAGACCAGTTCAGTTGGTCATTAGCCATTCATCTAGTGCTTCTCCTTTTGGTATAGGTTTACATGGCCTATTCCCTTCAAGAAAACAGTTCGTAAAATTCAGTTGCCAGAATCGAGGTAAAGGGTAGCGATGGTCTTTCTTTGCTGACTGTGTAACATGATACGTTCTTCGTCTGCCAGAGCTTGTTCCGCAGGAATGTGTGTGTCCTTTGTTACTTGCGGGTCTTACCTGTGTGTGCTTGTGGTTGATATTAATAAAGCCACCTGTGCTCAACCCACCTTGATGACTGTGCCTGTTTCTTCCTCCCCATTGCCCTTCGAGACATCCTGGGGTCATGTTACAATATGCAAAAAGGGGATTTATTTTCTGGCATTGTTCTGCTTGTCTGAGGCAAAGTATCTATTGCGACAATGTAAGGTACAGTATTTAAGTTGCTTATCAGGAGTCTTGGCAGAAAAAGAGCCAAGCGTTGTTTCCTTGACTCAGATGTCATCCTGCTTGATGGATGGTTGACAGGGCTGCCCAGATCCGTTTATAATCTATCAACAGTCATTCATTCTTTAGTGTTTGCTGTTTTAGTCAATTGTCTGTGGAAAATTAACCAACAAAAAAAACATAACCAAATGAAACAGACTTGCAGTAAAAGTTGGAATATAGGATTTTAGCAAAATAGGCGAATTATAACTCTAATTACATTACAAAAAGGAAAAATTCCAGAGAATCTACCCCCCACAGTGAGACACACACAAAATTACTTCACCCCTTCAGTTAATGTACTTGCTACATCTAAGAGCCCATATGTTCTTAAACAACAATACGATTATCCAAGTCACACACTTAAGGTTGGAAGCCTAAGATTGATGACCAAGGCTAACTTTGACAAGCATGCACTGATAAAATAAAACATGAATCTTATTGTTACAGGTCTTTTAGTTCAAACCAACTAATCTTGTGCTATTGTGAAACTAGGCTTGTTTTGCTTGTAATGATTGGATTGAGCAATCATTGCATGTTTCGATAGAGTGTAGTTAAATAATTTAACTGTTAATACTGTATTAAACTACATCCTGTTCAGTCCTTGATGCCCAAGTTATAAATGAAAAGTCAAAATACTGTATATTCTTCCAAGTATTACACTGCACTCATTCTCAGAACCAACTACTTGTAACTTTTAAGACATGGACATGGATTCGCTGAAGAAAAGGAAGCAGAGGATTTTTTTAAGGGAGCGAGGTCAAAATGGGGAGAGGTGTTAAGCAGAGTGCCTCATGGGTCTGTACAACAACCCATCCTGTTCTTCCTATTCCTCGTATATATGAATGACCTGGATTTGCAAAACCATTGTAAGATTGTTCGCCCACAAAACACACAGTC